AGAAAATTGACAAAATTTAAGATATATTTTTTTAGAATATTATATAATGTTTTGGATTATTTAAACATTTTATTGAGTTGTATTAATACATTTTAGGCGTATAAATTTTACTCTTTTACACAATTTAATTTTCATGCCATTTTATACACTTCAAGATGGTATACGCCGGCCTAAGTTCTTTTGAATATTTATCACGGGTTTGGTTTTATTGAGACAAAATAATAATATAATAATTTTTATTGTAAACTATGTTCATATTGCATCCAATGACGGAGCTACAAGGGGCCCAGGGGGACCCTGGGCCCCCATGATTTTTTTTTAAATCAATATATATATATATATATATATAATGTTTATATATAAAGAAAATACAATAAAATATGTTTAAAAATGTAAAAAAATATTTACAACATAGTAATTAGACCTTATTCCTATGCTATTTTTATTTAAATTATTAATATTATTTAATTTATTGAAAATGTAATGACAATCCTTATATATTAAATTTTTAGATAAGCTTTTAAAAATAGTTAAAATGATTTAATCTTTCAGTCTCTTAATTGTAAACCGATTTAGTGATTTTTAAAATCGAGTATTTAGTTGTATTGTTACATTTTTCAATGTTGATTTTTTACTCCTTTATGTTGTAATCACATGTTTTAACTTTTTTTTTTTTTCTTCAAAATGTTTATTCTATAAGCTCCCATAAAAAAATGATATGCAATGTGATGCAAAAGTTCAATTTAAATCAAAATTTCAACCAAAAAAACTCATTTTTCCATATATTATAGACGTCAAACTTATATTATAAATATATGAAATCTCATTCTTTTGTTTATTTTTTTTTTTAAAATTGAGGGTGATACGAATTTGAAGTTTTAAAAAACTTGATAGTACATGTTTCTATATTTATATTTATATTAAATATATTTTTATATTAAATGGGTGTTTCGACTTAAACTACAAGATCATTATTTAACATTTAAAAACGGGCCCCCCTCAGAAAAATTTCTAAATTCGTCACTGATTGAATCAAATTATATATATATATATATATATATAAACTATTATTGCTTACTTAATTTTTAATTTCTTTTAACATTATTTCTTACAATTTTTTAGTAATATTTTTTACCATCTGAAAAACATTTTTATATATTATTAATTTTTTTTATATATATAATATTAAACTAACCTTTGCTTTACACGCTTCAGTTTTACACTCATATATATTTTATGCATAAATAAAAAACAATTTTTGAAAGTATCATTTAATAGTCATTTAAAACAAGGAATTAATATCAAGCTATTCATATAATAAAAATGAATGTATATATAATAAAATATATTTATTACATTAATAATAATATTAAATAATTTATTCTTTAATATTTATTATTCATTTTCTTTATTTATAATTTATTTAAATAATTTATATTAATTACATTAATAATTAATATTGACGTACAGTAAATATTTTTATTACGACATTATATGACAATTAATTTTATAATATATATATATATATATATATATATATATATTAGGTCAACCTTGGTCAAATTTTAATTAGCATAAATTACTTACCATTTTTAATAACTTATTTGATTTTTTATTTTTCAAAATAATCAGGCAGTGTTACCCTTAAATTAGAGAATTTGTTACATTTTTTATTTGAATATATGAGGGAATATAAAAGTGTGTGAGTGGGCAGCGACGGAAAAGTTTGGCAATTTTTGTAGGTTTTTTTTTTCTTTTTTCTTTTGGTGGTTTGCGAATTGAGATGGCATGGGCTGTGTTTTTCTTTTGT